CGGGCTGAAGATACGGGCCTAACGGCCCAGTAGCCTTATTGGGCCCAGTCTTAATGGGCCTTACTTAATAACGAAGAAACTATATTCACATGTATTCAACACTCTATCAATTTTATTCTATCAACTGATATCTTACAATAATCAGGTAAATGATTACTCATTACAACAACATGAACTTGATTAAGCTCTCTAATCCTATATGATCTGTACTTAGTAACTTGAATGTTACGATTCTTCACCATCTCTATGAACTCATACACATTATCCATGTGGCTAGGGTCAACTCGACGACTTATGTCAATACACAAATGGGCTTGAACATTCTCAGACCCATAAAGATGGGTCATATCTTTCACAGATGCTGGTTGCAACACAACCCAACCTTTACTGTCTAACCACTTTGCATACGTGGACTTGCCTTCGGCTCCTTGTGGACCAAACACCCAATGCACTGTTCGTGAGTCTGGTTCTTGTTCTAACCCATACGTTAACTGCAATTGCCAACCACGGTTAAGTATGGGGCCCATATATTCAGATCTAAACTTCTTCATCTTCTCCGATGATCTCCAAGCATTAAACAAGTCTGGTTCTTCAATTGCCATTCTTTCCGGCGACTCTCGACACTGGTCAATACGCTTACGCTTGTTAGATCCTTTCTTAACAAACAATCCACATTCCCATGGACCATCAATACGTGTATCATCTTTACTCGCATAGGCGATAGCTTCTTCTTGACTACCTCTCATCTTCTCTACGTGAGCTCTGTCACCGAGTACTCTCTTCACGTTGCTCATCCTGCAACGATTTGATCTCATCTGAATATATCCTTGATAATGTTCTGTACCGTTCACACCTCTCTCTAATTGATACAAACAATACTGTACCGTATCATCAATCTCTATCTTAGAGGTTGGGTTGTTAAGTGTGAACACCCAGTTAGATCCCTGCGACATCGTTTTAATGTTTGACCAAATAAGATGGGGCGAGGACTTCGGGGGCGAGGGGGGTAATACTATACCCCCTCGCCTGCCTTCAGAAATATTTATATGGGGCGATGTACTACACGACAAAAAAGAGTTTGTAAACAAACAATGTGGGATAAAATAACAAGGGTATTTTAGTAACATAACCCCAAGCGCAAGGATGACGAACCCTGACGGGCTGAAGATACGGGCCTAACGGCCCAGTAGCCTTATTGGGCCCAGTCTTAATGGGCCTTACTTAATAACGAAG